TCGGGCTCGGGTTTATAGCTAAACTAAAACTATATGCAGTAGGCTACGCTGCTTTCATAGACGCACGCGCACACATTATTGCACACGACAACGACAACACAGCATGGAAACTTTTATTAGTAAAATAGCTTCGACAGGCTATTGACTCGCAACTTTATATTTCTCTGCAATGAGGGGGTAAAATCGCTGTTTTGAAGGAACTAAACCTCATTGCTTGTAGAGAGAGGCGCGCAGACGCAGGTTCACACGCAACTTTCATCCCTCTCTCTCTCTCTCTCTCTCTCTAATTCAAATAAATGATGTAATTAATTAATTCAAATAAATGCGATCTTACTGCACTGCATCTATGTGTCTGATTTAAAGCAGGCCGAATGCTAACGAGCCTTAACTGACGAAAATGACCATAATTTGCACGATGGAAGAATTATCGTCTTGTCGTATACAACCATTCAAAAACGCAGCAGAATTTATGTGACCGAGGCACCTGATGTTCATAAACTTTCATAACTGGTAAGTGTTTTTTCTTTTGCCTTGTGAACTGGCCGAGCCTCAATGATTCTGTTTCTTTACATGTATTTGCTTACTGACCGTTGCATGCAATCGTGAAATACAGCATTTTTTTTTAATAGGTTAAAAGCGCTGTGCTCATTTTACTTTCACTTTTGAATTAGCGGCAGTTCGGTGTCAATTGCTTTTATTAGAACTTTTATTAACAAAACAAATACAAATACACCATGCTATAGGGCAGGCTATGCCTAATATAAAATAACAAATAACTTATATAAAGTTTAAATAGGTATACAAAAGTGGAAATAGGCTAAGTAAACATGTATAATATATAACCAAATAAATAAGAAACGTAGAACGTTTATTAGCAAAACGAATGTCAAATAAAATAAATAAATGACACAAAGTTTAAATAAAGTAAAAATCAGCAAACAATGTGGAACCAATTAAATAAGAAACGAATGTTTTAAAAAACTTCCAAAATCACCTTAGATAAACGGCAAAAGTAAACTGGCTTTTCAAAATCCAAAATATTGCCAAACAAGGCGCTTTTGCATCTAGTTTCGAAACTAAATCATCCGCGATCGTCTTGTCTGTCTCACCCCCCACTCTTCTTGTCAGTCAGCTCGACTCACTCTCCTCACTGGATAAATGAACCTTGTGAACTGGCCGAGCCTTAATGATTCTGTTTCTTTACGTGTATTTGTTTACTGAACGTTGCATGCAATCGTGAAATACAGCATTTTTTTTTAAAATTGACTATTCGTTGTGGGGAAAAAAAAAGATGTCGGGTTCGGGCTCTAAATTGAACTGTGCCGCTCGGGTCGGGTCGGGCTGGGTCAGATGATCTCGGGTACGGGTCGGGTTCGGGCTTCAGTTTAAAGCCCAAAACGACGGTGGGGGTCGGTGACGCGGTGGGCAAGTGACGTAACCGGTGTTGCGGCTTAACACCGGTATCACCGTCAGCACCGTCTATCGCGGCAAGCCTAATGACCACCCATGTTGTCAGCTTAAGCATAATTGGTCACACTCAGTGGTAGTAAGTAATGTTGGTTCTAGTATGTCAGTGTGCCAAAAACGTACAGTGTTGATAACAGATGCTGCAGGTGCACATTTTTTCAAATGGTGTTTTTCAAACATTATTTTAACATTTCCATTTTTGTTTACCCTAGGTCAGTTTTACGTGATGATGAGTCCACCAGATATTTTACAGACTGGAACACCACGGACCATTGCCCCTCGTACACACACTTACTCTACGTAAGTATGATCATGGATCAACATCCCTCATTTTTCCCTGTCTGCACGGCCCAGTCCAACCTTTCAACCTAGTGCTATGTACATAATGATTTGATCCCTTCACGTTCCCCCAAATGAATTTCAGTTTGCAGAACAACGAGAATGGAATTTCAGATCAAATCCTGATGAATTTTCCTGCAAAACGCCTCAAATTGAGTGTGGAATTAATTTAAAAATGCAATGATTTCACATACAAATATGCAAAGTATTTTACAATCAGTTTAAGTGCAGTCAGAAAAACAACCAAAAAAAAATGTGTCCCACTTGCCTGCTATCCCCAGAGACCTTGGTGAACGTGAGACTCTTCAACACAGCAGATCAGACTGGTGAGGAAGACCTTTTACATCCCCACCCCCTTTCAGCTGCCAGCCTGTCCTTCTCTAGATGCTGCCGCTGTTGAGCAGCTGGCTTTTAAAGGAATAGTTCGCCCAAAAATGAAATTTTGCTGAAAATTTACTCGCCCTCATGCCATCCAAAATGTAGTTGGTTTCTTCATCAAAACAGATTTGGAGAAATTCAGCATTAATTCTCTTGCTCAACAATGGATCCTCTGCAGTGAATGGGTGCCGTCAGAATGAGAGTCCAAACAGCTGATAAAAACATCACAGTAATCCACACAACTTCAGTCCATCAATTAACGTCTTGTGAAGACTTTTCACTGGAGGAAGCGTTATTATGGATTGTGGACTCATATTGATGGATTTGTTTCTTACAAACATGCAGCTTTTCACTTCACAGTATGTTAATTGATGGACTGGAGTTGTGAATTACTTGTGGATTATTGTGATTTTTTTTTTTATCAGCCGTTTAAACTCTGATTCTGATGGCACCCATTCACTGCAGAGGATTCATTGGTGAACAAGTGATGTAATGCTAAATTTCTTCAAATATGTTCCAATACTCCTCTACATCTTGGATGGCCTGAGGGTGAGTACATTTTCAGCAAAATTTCATTTTTGGGTGAACTATTCCTTTAATTCAGTACTGTATAAATATTACAGATGTGTTTGAGTTTTCTTCATATTCGGAAGACATCAATTCTAGCCTCTAAAAACCGAAATGAAGAAAAATCAAAGGGTTACATGTTTCTTTCAGGCTTATTACTTGTTTATCCAGATTTAAGCACATCTTTGGGTAGATTCAGTACTGAACTGTTGTTATATCAGTAAACGGGCTGGAGAAATGTTTGTTTTCAAATAGGCTTTAGCTGTGTTGTGTCCTGCAGATTCTTTTGGTGGTTTTGGTAGTTTAATAGTGCAGTAGAGCAAGCTCACATAAGTCTCCTATTTTTCTCTTCTCTCTCTCTACTTGCGCAGGAAAATTGATGGCCCCCGGGCACCTCGTGATGAGAGAAGGAGAGCACAGCACAATGAAGGTGAACTAATGCATGTCTTAGAGCTTAGAATATGTACAGTTTCAGTGGAAGCAAGAACATCTGTACAAAGCAGTTACATGATCAATGTCCCAAATTTAGCTGATGTAAAAAATATGAATTTTAAACATTTTCTGAATGTTTAGTTTATTACAGTATTTATTTTTTTCCTTTGGATTACTTTTTAACATGAAACTACAAATCTAGGGGAAAACGTAGAACTGGAATTGTATCCATCAGGAATGGATTGAATTGTAATGTGCAGTTACAAAAGAAATGTAACGCTTTAATAAAACATTCTAAATACAAATATTTATTTTCTTTCAAATTAGGGCTGTGCGATTAATCGAAATCGAAACGAAATCGCGATTTGAGACGTTGCGATTTCCTAATCGCCAAATAGCATATACCGATAAGTTGTTTACAGTTAAAATCAGGAACGTACATCAGGAAGAGTAAATGGGATCAATTTGGATTTCATATTGACTTATTGGAAGTAATTCAGTGTATAGAGTAAAAGTAGATCAGTTTGGACTGTTGCTAAATGGTTTTATTGGTGTTTCTGCAGTGGAAAGGAGAAGAAGAGACAAAATCAACAACTGGATTGTCACACTGTCTAAAATCATCCCAGACTGCAATATGGAGAGTACCAAAACAGGAGCAGTAAGTAATAGCACCAGATCATTTCTTCTTTGGACCTATTGTACCTCTTTACACCTGCTAATGTTAATGGACTGCTTGTTGTCGTCTCTAGAGTAAAGGAGGCATCCTGTCTAAAGCATGCGACTACATTAGAGAACTCCGACAGACTAACCAGAGGCTGCAGGAGAGCTACAAGGAGGTGGAGAGAATACAAGTGGACAATGAGCTACTAAGACAACAGGTATTTTTGTTGGTGGGAGTTGTTTATGTAAAATGTAAAGTGGGGTCTCAAAGTCAGATTACTAGTTAAGATGCTCCTTTTTGCTTCAAATTTAAAAAAATGTAATTGCAGATATAAATAACAATACAAGTGCTGGTTGAATAGAAAAATTTACTTTAGGTAGTTTGTCGCCCTTTTTGCTTTTATGGCAGCAACACTGGAGCTGCATGAACTCCATAAGTTTATATAGAACTTCATGATCATTAAGACCCAATGACATCGCTTATGCATCTTTTAAAAAAAAATTTTTTTTCAAATTCTGTTTTCTATTTGAATTTTTCTGGATTCTATTTTTAATTGGTTTAATTAAATTGTGATAATCAAAAAGGACGTCTAATCAGTTGCGTTTATAAAAATGCTAAATTATAATAATTTAAAACTTTAAAATGTAACAATAGGGTCTTATGAATAGCGTTTTATTTTTTCAAGAAATTCTGTTTCAGTTTTTCTGGGTTCTGTGTTTTATTTATTTATTTGTACAGTAGTACATTCATTCATCTTTAATAATTAAACTAATCTTTTAAAATGTAATCAAATGCCTTGTCAACAGTTCCTTTCAGTTTTTCAGAAACGGTAAACAAGAGGTTTACAATTTCAATTAAAAAATGGATGACAAATTGTGATATTGTGTGATATTCTTTAAAAAATAATGCCTTAATGTATCCTTAAGTAAAATAAATAAAATCCTAAGTGGTAAATTTATGAGATCTGTGGTGTTTTGCTTACCAAGTCCGATTGGGCAAATGGTAATATGTTGGATGTCCATTGCCCTGCAGATCGAAGACCTGAAGAATGACAATGCACTGCTCAGAGCTCAACTACAACAACACGGCCTGGAAATAAGTGAAACTACATCACAGTGACAAAAAACAACAAAAAAAACATTCTCACGAATAAAAAAGTGAAAGTGACGTGACACAGTCTCAAGTGGAGAAATAAACCCTCAATGACTCACTTGCTCGCGCCTCATCACAGACTTAAGATGTTTTGTAACTCAAGTAGGGTATGAATGCTTATCTGATGCACAGACACACATCCTTCTGACAAGAGACTCTCTGACCGTTTTGAAAATGACATCTGCTGTAAGCACATTTTGTTTTCTCCTTCACCCCCGTGAGAACTCAACAACTTGGACTCGGTTGATATGGAATAACCCTCTTCTTCCAGAAGTATCCCGCTTGCCACAGGTTTATGTCTTTAGCTTCAATCTTGGATTTGTGAACCAGTTATTTGCCTGCTCATGCCTAATGCTCATCCTTTGTTCTGTTTGAAACATTTTGTGGATTTTATTTTTGCTACATCGTGCAAATGTTACTACTGTCTCATAACATGAAGGTCTTTTTTCCAGGGTTCTTCGGTATTGTATTTATTAGCTTTCAAGAAATTGCGTAGCAGCAGGTATCCAAAACATTTGGCTGATGTTTTGAATTTGATTTAGTTTTTCTGTCCTGCAGTCCTTCCATATATCAGACTTTGTGAAATACATTCATCAGGCTGATCAAAGACTTGACATCGTGGCACATCAAGACTAATTTACAGTATAAATTTGCTTAGAATGTAAATGAAAGTGCATGGAGTATGTTTTCATTTAAAATGGAGACTTATGATATTTAAAACTGCATTACCTATAAATTTCAGTTTTCAGAGTCCATTATATTTAATGCACTGTGATTTTAGTGAAGGATGAACGAGTAGCTCAGGGTTTTGAGGTGCAGGAAAATAGCCGAGGCTCTGGAAAACCCCACTAACCTTGTAACCCTGCACTTTTTGCCCTATGGCTTTAACATACTAGATTCAAACATGTACTGTATATATCATGTATTTCAACCAGTTGTTCTTATGTCATAAATTAATTCAAAGAAATCTACTTTATAAGCCCTAATTCCCAGGCTCATTTATCTATGGCAAATAAAATGGAAGATGCACAATAGAAACCGATAGAATTGCTACTGCTAGTAGTGTTCTAGCTTATTTTGTTGTAGCTTATCTTCCATCTTATTTTGTAACAATCCTAATTAACTCGTTGGTTTAGACCAGGGGTGCCCAACCCTGCTCCTGATGATCGACTGTCCTGCAAAGTTCAGCTCCAACCCTAATCAAACACACCTGAAGCAACTAATTAGGGTCTTCAGGATCACTTAAAAATTAAAGGCATGTGTCTTTATTAGAGTTGGAGCTAAACTTTGCAGGACAGTCGATCGCCAGGAGCAGGGTTAGGCACCCCTGGTTTAGACATTGATCAACAACAACATTTTGAACAATAAAATTGGAGATTAGCTTTAAAAATCAAACTCCATTCAATTATAAGAGCATTAGCATTAATACCTGATGGCAATGAGAGTTATTGTTAATGAGCTATGCATAAGGAAACCAATTCTTTTAGGCCCGGTTTCACAGACGGGGCTTAGACTAAGCCAGGATTAGGCCATTGTTCAATTAGGAGATTTAAGTAATTTTTATTAACATGCCTTAGAAAAAACATTACTGGTGTGCATCTTGAGACAAAACAAAGGCACTGGTATATTTTAAGATCAGTCAGTGCAAGTTTCTTTCAGTTAAAACAGTTCAGATTTACACTTTAGTCTGGGACTAGGCTTAAGCCTTGTCTGTGAAACCGGGGGTTAGTGTTTACCAGTATATCTCCTATGTTTTAAAGCCAGTAGACCTAAGTCTGGGAATGAAAATGAGGCTGTGAGGATAGAAGTACAGTGCGTTCAATGGATTGTGCTGTTCTTTAGCATATTGATTGTTCAGCTGACAAAACGTCTTGTTGAAACAAAAATTCAGTAGACAAAAACTCCATAAATCAGGTTTGAAAGTTGTGAAAATTATGTGAACTAGGACCTTTATACAGTGCCATTACAAAGACCAAGCCTTGTTTTCATTCATGTTCAATTCAATATGGCGCCTAACCTGATGAAGGTCTATTCAGGCCTGTGTTTTCATCAGATTATAAACCACCTCAAGTTAAACCTCAAACAACCTGTGATCATAGCAAACCAAGTGTAGAACCAGTGAAACATCAAAATAGGTTTAAAATATTCCACATAGCAATACAGAGAGGGCACAGATAACCTTTAAACACTCTGTCTGTCCTCTTCACAGTATTAATGCTGTACTTGAATGACTGTTGAGTCCAGAACTATAGTCTAATGCACTGCTGCTTTTAAATCAAAGCTTAGAAAGAATATTTATATTTATGTACGTCTGGTTGAATTGAGGAACCCTTAGCATGACATTCCTACCACTGGTTTGATATCTATAAGCTATACAACGCAGTTGCTTTTGTTATACCTAATGACTGTTGATGCTTATGTATGTACTTGTATAAAAGAGAAACCCAGAGTTACAATATGTAGATATTTTTCTTTGAAAGAAACAAAAGTGCTGAAATAAATTTAAATGAACTCCTGTGCAGTTAAACATTTTCTTATCTGTTACCACTCCAGTACAATCACATGAAAAGACATTGCCTTGTGACAGTCTTACTGTGTTTCACTGGTTCTCACTGCTAGATCTTCCAGAGGACATCTGATCACATAGGAAGATCTCTTACAGTTGCTCTATTTATCATTAAAAAAATTAATTAGCATCTGTCTAACATTCTATGAAGTAATAATCTAACTGCGATTAGAGATCATGATTGAATAGTAGAAAAGTAGAAAAAAATAAAACTGCATGCACTCTCTGGGCTTCCATAGTTTCTAAACGGGGTGCATTCCTGTTTTTCTGCTCCGAAAGTGAGTTAAGTTTCATTTCTCAAGAAAGAGAAACATAAATGTGTCGTGTCACAAGTTACTGTAAATATTGTGACTTATAACAGGGTCATTCTCAAAACAAAAATCTGACATACTAAACATTGAAGTTTTGCATTCAGTTATTTTTTTTTATTCAAGATAATTACTTCGTCAGATTTAAAATCAAATGTTTTGTTTATTTTTAAATGAAAATCTTACACATTTGCACAAACGTTAAACAATAACACGTGACAAGTTTAAACCATAAAAATAAATAAATGTAATATATTAACTTTTTCAACACAGCGGGAACAAAAGGAAAACAAAATGTAACTTTAAATGCAATAGAAGTGGTTTACCAGATGAAGAGAGAAAGGAATTTTCAGGAACTCAACATTCAAATAGTTAGAAAAAAAGAGAAAGCTAAACAATGTAAGTTCAGATTATTTCATATTATTTTATAAACTTATGTCTTATGCCTTTACATGAAGTTTCTTGACTATTTGAAAGCTTTTTATATAACTCAAAGGACAGGTTTGTCAGGATATTTTGAGAATGGCCCAGCAATTGTTTGCGCAGTTCAGCAAACCAGCCTTGGAAGGGTTTGATTCCAATAGGTTTCAGACAATAAAGATCTTCTAGACAAACTCCATATATGGTCTGTTCAGGTATAGGTTATGACTATATAAGCCCAAAATGAAATTAAAAGCAACACATGGAGAAAACATCTTTGTGAAAGTGTGGCGTGGTATTTGTATAACAGGGAAAAGACTGGGTAAGAATAATCTTGTGTTTAAGTAACAGATTTTTAAAGATAAAGCATTGATTTCATGATGAAGCTATGGAAAATGCTTTGTAAATATATCATAGTATGCGTTCACTGTAGATTTATAGAGTGAATACGGTAAAGTGGGATTCTTAATGTAACATTAACTTCATCAAATCATTATATTTTTTCATTAGTAAAATGTGTGTGGGATGATACTGATGTATATTTTCGGAGTATAGGCTAAATGACATTATCAAAATGTTTATTATCATCACAATGTTCATATTATCATCATTATCTTTCATTTTTAGATCATCAATTTTTATATTTAGCCTACTACATATTATATTTCGTATTTAATGTTTATGGGTGTTTTATGTTTTATGTTTTAGGGATTGGTTGCATCTATATCATCTGTAATGATATTCTTCTCTTGAATATCTAATTCTGAAAATGGGGTCTTATAAATGTGTATGTCTGCACTTACTTAAATTAATCTTATTTCAGATTTTGGGTGAATAACAACTACAAATAATCAATCTATAGCTTATCAATCCCCAGATGGGAAACTTTACAAACAATGTTTACTTGAAAAATGTTAATTCTGTAAATTCTTATCATGCTGGGCAAGTGTTCTGTTTTTTGTTTCATCTAGATTTATTCTTTTGAATATCTAAGAAAAAAAAAAAAACTTTAGTCTCTCACTGTCTCTCTGGTCACTGAGAATTTAATTAGTGCCTTTAAATCCCCATCCTGTAATGTAGAAATGGCTTTTGTTCTTATTCAGAACAAGAGAATACAGCTTTTTAAGGTCACAGGAATGCGTCTCAGGTTACAACTGTAACCCTGGTTCCCTGAGAAGGGGAATAAGAAGCTGCATCCTGGATTGACGCTATGGTAAACACCATTAGGAGTGACCAGTGTCTGAAGCATGTGTGCAAACATGACAATTCTACTGGCCGAGGACAGTATGAGTATAAGAGGGCACCTGCAATGTACGTCATCAAATTCTTTGTCTGAGGGAGACTTGCAGGCTGACCCAAAGCATGGCAATGAGATTTTATATGAAAGTGAATGTGACAGTGAAAGTGACGTGATGTGTCCCATACTCGGAATTGAGGAACCCTTAGCATGACAGTTGCTTTGTTTATACCTGACTGTTGATGTTTATGTATGTACCTATATAAAAGAGAAACCCAGAGTTACAATATGTCGTTTTTTTTATGTGTGTGACAGCCTTACTGTGATTCACTGCTACTGTAGATCTTCCAGAGGACATCTGATCACATAGGCAGATCTCTTACAGTTGCTCTATTTATCCAAATATGTAATAAGCATCTGCATAACATTATATGAAGTAATGATCTAACTGCACTTAGAGATCATGATTGAACAGTTGAAAGTAGAAAAAATAAAACTCCATGCACTCTCTGAGCTTCCATGGTTTCTAAC